TTTATTTTTTTTTTTTCTTTTGTTTTGTGAAGTTGAACATTGGAGTTCACGTTAACGTCGAGCAAGATCGCGTTTTTCGTGTCCCGGTGAGTCTATAGTCTCTAGCTGTGTAATTAGATTATAATTTATGTATACTTTCTAAGATTACTCATTAAAATTTTTTCATCTTTTTGGCATTTTAGATGAGTGGAGGAAGCTTAGGCCAAAATTTATGGACTTCAAACCAATATAATTCCTTCTATGGATGCAGTAATGCAAGCCATGGCTTCTTAGGTACATACAATCCCACATTCATAAATATATTCAAATAATTTTCTAGTCATTTTCACCGAGCAAGCTTTAACGAAAAGAATCGAATGAAAGCTGCGGATATGAAAAACGAACCCGACCGGTACTTGTTGATTGCGACTAGTGGGGGCCTAAACCAGCAAAGAACAGGGGTAAATAAAATTCATCATAACCCAATCTGTAAAAACATGTTTTTTTTTTTAGTCTTTCACTTTTACTTGATTGGTGCAATAGATAGTAGATGCAGTTGTTTCTGCTTATATCTTGAATGCAACACTCGTCGTGCCTAAGCTCGACCAAAAATCATTCTGGAAGGACACCAGGTTTGTGAACCCAAAGAAAAAAAAAATGCACATTGATGATTAGAAATAAGATAAGCATGTTGACGAATAGATTTATCCGCAGCAACTTTTCAGACATCTTTGATGTCGACTGGTTCGTGAGGTACCTTTCGAGAGATATCAGAATTATTAAAGAGCTTCCCGAAAAAGCAGGGAAGGTCGTAACTACTCGTGCACCGAGAAAATGCAATCAGAAATGCTACGAGACTCGTATTCTGCCCATCTTTCGTACAAAGCGTGTATGCATTTTATCTATCCTTAAAATCGTAATAAATGGGTGCGCTAAGTTGTACCTGCAAAGTATTGGTGTATGATCTATCCTCAGGTGCAGGCCATTCAGCTCACCAAGTTTGATTACAGATTGTCAAATCGGCTCGATTCGGATTTACAGAAACTGAGATGTCGAGTGAACTATCACGCCTTGAGATTTACAGATCCTATTCTTGAAATGGGATTCAAGTTAGTCGAGAGGATGAGAGCGAAAAGCAAGCATTATATTGCCTTACATTTAAGGTTATTATTTGAGAAAAGACCCATTTTTTTTTTTGTCAATCTCATATGCATAAACCAACACTTGCTGACGTGGCAGATTCGAGCCGGATATGCTGGCATTTTCCGGATGCTACTATGGTGGTGGCCACAAAGAGATGAAAGAGCTCGGCTCAATAAGAAAGAGGTGGAAAACTTTACATGTGAGTCGAGTCGAGCCTCTTACACATAATAATCTTTCATATTTTCATTGGCGTATTTGATACTGTGTATTTGGTTATTAATATACATAAAATAAAATCCCAAATTTAACATTTTTTAACAGATGAAAAACCCAGAAAAGGAACGCAGGCAGGGGAAATGCCCGTTAACTCCTGAGGAAGTTGGGCTTATGCTAAGAGCATTGGGCTTTGGGAATGACGTGCATATATACGTAGCATCGGGTGAAGTTTACGGAGGTGAGGAGACATTGGCACCTTTAAAAGCTCTTTTCCCGAATCTCCACACAAAAGAGACTATTGCTAGCAAGGAAGAGCTTGCTCGATTCTCATCCTTCTCGTCTCGAATGGCTGCACTCGACTTCATCGTTTGTGATGAAAGTGATGTTTTCGTAGCGAATAACAATGGTAACATGGCCAAAATACTCGCTGGCAAAAGGTATGCGATGCGTTTATCTGAGAGAATGAATTAAAAAAAAAAAGACTAAATTGAACTTATAATTTATATATTTTAGGAGATACTCTGGTCACAAACCGACTGTGCGCCCAAATGCGAAGAAGCTCTATCGGGTGTTTGAAAACCGGGATAACATGACGTGGGAAGAATTTGCCTCAGTTATTCGGAAATTTCAGGTTGGTTTCATGGGGCAGCCGAATGAGGTGAGATTAGGTAGGGGTGAATTTCACGAGCACCCGTTGTCTTGCATATGTGAAAAATCGGGCCTTCTTCAGAATAGAGGTAAAAACAAGGGCGAAAAAAGTAGTAATAACGGCATGAATGATGAAGGGTTCTCAGAAGACGAGCAAGAATATTATGGTGAAGAT